AGTACTTGTATCAGTATTTCGTGAGAACATATGGCTTCCCTGTGTGAAACACATAGTCCTTGTATCAGTATTTCGTGAGAACATATGGCTTCCCTGTGTGAAACACCTAGTCCTTGTATCAGTATTTCGTGAGAACATATGGCTTCCCTGTGTGAAACACCTAGTCCTTGTATCAGTATTATGTGAGAACATAAGGTTTCCCTGTGTGAAACACCTAGTCCTTGTATCAGTATTTCGTGAGAACATATGGCTTCCCTGTGTGAAACACCTAGTCCTTGTATCAGTATTTCGTGAGAACATATGGCTTCCCTGTGTGAAACACCTAGTCCTTGTATCAGTATTTCGTGAGAACATATGGCTTCCCTGTGTGAAACACCTAGTCCTTGTATCAGTATTATGTGAGAACATAAGGTTTCCCTGTGTGAAACACCTAGTCCTTGTATCAGTATTTCGTGAGAACATATGGCTTCCCTGTGTGAAACACCTAGTCCTTGTATCAGTATTTCGTGAGAACATATGGCTTCCCTGTGTGAAACACCTAGTCCTTGTATCAGTATTTCGTGAGAACATATGGCTTCCCTGTGTGAAACACCTAGTCCTTGTATCAGTATTATGTGAGAACATAAGGTTTCCCTGTGTGAAACACCTAGTCCTTGTATCAGTATTTCGTGAGAACATATGGCTTCCCTGTGTGAAACACCTAGTCCTTGTATTTTTCTGTGCCGTTCGTATATCAGTATTTCGTGAGAACATATGGCTTCCCTGTGTGAAACACCTAGTCCTTGTATCAGTATTTCGTGAGAACATATGGCTTCCCTGTGGGAAACACCTAGTCCTTGTATCAGTATTATGTGAGAACATAAGGTTTCCCTGTGTGAAACACCTAGTCCTTGTATCAGTATTTCGTGAGAACATATGGCTTCCCTGTGTGAAACACCTAGTCCTTGTATCAGTATTTCGTGAGAACATATGGCTTCCCTGTGTGAAACACCTAGTCCTTGTATCAGTATTTCGTGAGAACATATGGCTTCCCTGTGTGAAACACCTAGTCCTTGTACATTTTCATCGGTCTCCATGTCAATCTTCCTTTTGTTCTATTTTTTGTGCCATTGTTAAATTATTTTAGATTTTGTAAACAAGTCGGCATTGTTTTTGGCATCGCTTTAAATAAGTATCATATTAGAAGTGTCAAGTTGTTCTAAAGCTGTTTTTAAGTCATTCTTCACAAGATACAGTCAGGCGTTACGTTGATGTTTTTACGCTAGATTTTATTGCTACATAGTCGATTATACAAATAGTTACAATTCTGTACGAAAACGACCTTTTATCTTAGGACATCAAAAGAAAATGCCGGCTCGTTAATTCAAACTTGAATTCAATAAGATTTAGGGAAAATATGGAAGAATGAAGATTTACACTAAGTCTTGTGACAAGAGCAAAGAGAATAAGACCAGATGCTCCTGAATAATCTACTGCTTCATCGACGACACTCGCCATGTAAATCTTCCCGAATCCAAGTAAGTAATGTTATGTTTCAAATAAGAACAGAGTATACAAAACAGAACCAATAGGCATCCTTAGCATCGAAAACGTCCAGCTTTATATCGCACAAATAAACAGAATATATCTCAGTGAGATCGTTAACAATTCTGTATCGTCCTAGAAACTCTGCTGTCGTCAATGGCTTAAAGACAGTCCTTCATCTTAAATCTCCTCGATGAAACTCATGATGTCATAATTACATTTTTTGTTCGCATTAACGCTATTTTAACCTTTAATGTCACGAAAAGCTGATTCAGAACTATTCTTACCTTGTAGAACCTGAAGTAACAGGCAAAAACACTTAGCGAAGAATTTTATCTAAAGACAAGTGGCCTATGAGTCCATACGGTCATATAAAGGCAACGTAACATCTAAACAATTCTCATATATTAGAAGTTAAGATGACAAGATAACAACAGTGTTCAGATCAATATCTCCACATTTTATATGTTTTTTTAAAGAGATGGTGGCTATCTACGATTTTTAATCAAGGCGAAAAAATAAATAAACTTGGTCGGGACTTTCTCATGACCATTCAGGTAAGTTTGAGCTGAATCCAACGGGTGGAACTCGAAAAATTTAAAAATAATTGTTCTTGATGAAAAGGCATAATTATGCAATCATGTTGTTAAATAACCGCCATAGCTGTCACGTCGAAGTTGAAGAGGAGTCTTTTCTTAGTATCCCATTAAAATTGTCAGCTGAATGGCACTAATGTAATTAAGAAGAAGTTTTGGCTATTTTTTTCTAGATAGCGGCAATCTTTGATAATGGACCTTAAGAACACAATCAGAATACTATGATCTTCACAGGTAAGTTTGAGATCAACCTTGATTGCGCCATCATGTTACAAAATTTCCCCCGTGGCTGCCATATTTATCTTTTAATTAGACCAAAAAATCAGACCATATTGTTCGGTTCCTTTCTTTAACATTGCCACGAATCTTCAGTTTAATACAACCGGCAGACTTTGAGAAGAGTTTTAAAATTCAATTTTCAAGGTGGCGGCCACGGTGGCAATCGACAGTTTTGGACTAGCTCGGAAAAATAAGAAGCACCATCTCAGGATCATTTATGCTTTATATCAATCTGTGGAACTTGGGAAATGTGAAGTATTAACAGCGGACGGCAGATGACGGCGGACGAAACAGGATGACTAAACTGATTAAACGTCAGATGATTTTTTTTCTGTGCCGTTCGTATATCTCTGCAAAGCTCAGGTAATACATGTCTCATGAACGTATGAAATAAATCCACCGAAACATCACACCATCAAGTTACAAGTAATTATGTATTGGTAGGGTTATATCTATGTGAGATCCTTCTCATTTTCTCTTACTTTTGTTAAACTTTAACCATATGTCTGTCTTTAAAAGAATCATATTAGCAGTATCGTATTGATAGAGGAATGACTCGTACCCAAATAAACTAGACGCACAATCTTCAATATGTCAACAGTATAATGCCAATGACTTTCATGGCTAACACAAATTGAAATGAGAAAACCATGTAATAGATAATAAATAACGTGTTTATTTAATGAAAGACAAACGGTAGTTTAAAATTAGACAACCTAGTGTTACAACATTATGTAATTAATATAACAACATGTACTGTTATACACAAACAATCACAGCACGTGACAAGTACAACATGTGACACTTGTTACTGTATCACACAACAAGGAATGATAAATTTAGACATTAAAACAACGAATTATGAAAAACTTACAAAAATTACCAGAATAATAACGTATCAAAGCACGTGTCGTTTATTATAGTTAAAACCGGCAAAATTGCACTTGTCATTTGTAACCCTCATGTGTTATTTTAATACCGGTTCATCACTATAATGAATACAGTTAGTGTCATTGATAACCAGTAAACCATATACAACATGTGTCATTACTTACAGGTACATCAGATATAACAATTATAACACGTGTCACTGATAACCAGTAAAACATATACAACATGTGTCATTACTTACAGGTACATCAGATATAACAATTATATTACGTGTCACTGATAACCAGTAAAACATATACAACATGTGTCATTACTTACAGGTAAACATTTAAACGTTTCGTTAATAGCTGTTTGAACAGCTGTGGTAATAACATAACATGATTAACCTGTATAATGCACAACGATCCATGGACCGCTACAGAATTGTCTATCACATTTCACCAAACTATCACATAGCCAATCTGAAATGTGCTATTTTCGAAGAGATTGAACAAGAAAAAGATAACAAGTAAGACCATTTATTACAATATGTTCTCTGATTAAAGGGATAGTCTGCAAAATATATGGCTGTTTTGTACCTTTAAAGAAGTCATTTTAATGTTGTTGTTTTTAAATTATTGTTAGCATTAGCCAGTTAAGACAAGCGAAATGGTTGGGAATACTCCAAACCAAACTGTTTAAATATAGTGAGAAATCCGGAACTGAAAGGTCACTGGATCATAGATTTTATACAGAGTATTGAATAGATACACAAATGTTTATCTTGTTTACCAAAATTTCTGTTGGAGTGGCAATTTCATTATTTCATAAGTCTTATTTTCTGTTGATGTTATAATTTACAAAAGTACTTCATTCTGTTCGGCTAATAGCCATGCAAACCTGTTATGACACAATCAGGGTCGTGCAAACGTTTGTAAATCGATCTAGCAAGATCTATCAAGAATTTCTGCAAATCATATATCATGTGTTTACATTAATGGTAATTTTAGGTGTAGGATTTCCATAAAATCAGAAGTAGATGAAATTGTACAGTTTTCTTCAAAGGCATCTTCTTAACTTGTGCGGAATATCCCTTTAAGCCTTCTCGCGGTCAGTACCACAGCTGTGACTAGATAACGTGAAGAGTTAACAGTTGTAAAGAGGAAAATACACAGGAAATGGACAAATAGGTGACTTACATAATAAACTCTCTCCGTAGCACTAAATAACTTCTTCGTTCAATTGTCTCTTTGAAAAGGGATATAAATGATATGTCAGTCAGATAAATAAAAAGTCATGTAAAATACACTGCAGAATTGTTCCACTCAGCAACAGGACAGATAAATCAAATACGCCAGTGTTTATATTACCGCAACTGGTTCTATCTGAACTTATTATTCCCAAAATAACAAACAATTGCGATATTCTTTGCATGCAATTAGTCTATCGTGACTCCATTAGAACGACGTTGCTGTAAAAACTTACTGAACAATATCGGATTACGACAAACAGTGGATACGTGATGTATATTCTTATTTATTAAATCGGTAGTGCGATGCCAGCATGTGGAACGACCACAAAGGGCACACAAATTACGACATTATCCGATTAATTGTTGTCATTCTTATTGGTTAACACGCACCAATCGCATCACATCAACGTTTAGTCTCTGTAGAATACTCCCTCACCTACAATATATCCCAATAAATAATTTCTATGAACACAAATTCGTCATTCCGCCGTATTCGATTTTGTAGGAGTCATAGAAGGAGGAGGTTTAACAGGTGCTAAACTTTGTAGCTTTTGTTTTTTTGCTCCTCCAATTTTTCTCATCGGTGAACCATCCCGAGAGAAAACGGGAAAATATGATCCCACGCTTCCAGTAGGCGAAAGCACAGGTGTTTTTGTTGCTATGTTAAGTCCTATCGGAGAACGTGGAGACGATTGCACTGAAGGAAGAGGTTTTTTAGCTAACTGAACATTCGACGAAATTCCATAGTTTTGGGTCCTGTTTCGCATTGACGCCAGTTCGTTTGGTGGTAAACGTCGCGGCGGTGGTGGACCCTGGTTAAAGTGATCAACTATCGGCTTTGTTCTCGCGAAATTTTCATAGTTTGTTGTATTGATTACCTCTTTATCACCTATCACTTTCTCGAACCACTCTCGGTCAGCTTTGGATTCATGTGTTCTTTCAATATCACTTGTTATCTTGGATCTTTTTTGACCGTATAATCCTGTACCAATAGCCATACTATCCCCAAACTGATTACCGTTTAAATAGTCCCAAACAGACTTTGGAGCGTCTGGTCCAATATGGTGGCTGCTCGGCCCGTAACTTCCCAGAGCACCGTCAGAGACTACACTAGAAGCAGACGACGACGAAGCAGAAGATCCTCGTATCTCCACTCTCCGTTCAATAGAAGATAAATCATTTAGAGAAAATGACACTTTCTTACCAGGAGAGAACATCTTTCCATTTTTTGGTCCACGTAGCACTGTGTCTGGTAATCGTGGAAACCTTGGTGGGACTACCTCTGTCTCCACTTCGTATACTGGTACACCATCACATTCTGTGTATTTGTAGGTAAGTCGTTGTTTCACTAGCTCGTTATTATCTGTAACGTCATTCCTGTCTATCATGGGAATATCTCGTTGTAAGTTGTGACGCCTGGTTGGAGATTCTCTGTTCCTTTCAATTCTCGGAAGATGAACGCCATGAAGTCCGTTTTCAGCGTCTCCACCTAAATGATTCAGTCCAGCACCACCTCTGGTGGACCTTTTAATTTTTTCCATTCTTGGTTTTTTAACTCGATATGGAACATTTGGCATGGATTTCATCAATGATTTGACGACACCTCGATTCTTTTGCTGATAGTTCCAGATCTCCTGGCGTCGTTTGAGGTCCTCATCCTTGGGATTGTCGATCAAGTAGGTTCTGATACGAGCCCAGCTCCTACCTGGCGGCTCACGAGCTGGTGATACACCACCGACCCGAAATCCCCGGTTGATCTCGGGAAGTCTCGGAGTATTGACTTCCTCCATTGGTGTTTACTCTAGTGGATCCTGTAACAGAACGGCGCCATTGTCCAACTTGTCTCCAGGTTCACGTTTGGCAATGTCACCATTCTTCTATTCTGATTGTTTCCGCATCATTGACCAGCGTGGAGAACTCAACAAGTCTGCAAACAGAGAATAGGTATATTTATTACACAGTGACATACATATTTATCTTCATATGAGTATATGAAACTTCAGAGTGATCAATACTATCCTTTAATCGTCACGTTTTAACATTTCAAAGCGATCTATTATATATCACTGTACAGTTCATTTCAATGGTCACGTGTTCTGAATACAAAGATAAAGATCAAATAAGTTTAGACAATACTCCATCGAAGTATTGAAATATGTGACTAATTTCCGTATTCAAGTGTTGATTATTTCAACACGTTACGTGTGGATTAAACATGCCGAAATGTCTTTGTTTCACCATCGATTCACAAAGCTATACACGCAAATGTAGTAGCATTTATACGCAGTTTATCAATAAATAATGACAATTTATTACAAGCAAACTGCAAAATACAATACGTAATACTGAGTTACGTCACGTAAATATATCACCTAGAGGGTATGCTTGGGACTTTCGCTTGCTTGTCGCTAATATATTAACCACAAAGTTCACATAAAATTTGTAAGGAATGTCAAACCATAACTTGAAATACCTGTGCATTATCATATAAAAAAATGATTGAAAAAAATAGTTATTTATTTTTCTATCGTTCCTTGTGAATGTTTATCAATACTATATTTAAATACAAAGGGGTCCTTTACCTTCGAATGTCAAATGTTCAACGGTTTAAATGACAAGCTGGTGATTTTTGTTTAAGGTAACTGACAGGTAAGACTTCAGCTGGGAAGCTATTGTCAAATACGACCTTCTGGGATTTAAATGACAGTGATAAATAAGCAAATCACTGATACCTAGTAAACAAAGAAGCATTGTCAATTCTACAATACAATCGTCACTGTTTATTATATCTGATCAATGTTCCTTTTTTACTATTGTCATATACGGTTTTTGAATACACATTCGTACACAAGATAACTATATCAAACACACACATACACCAAATACGTTGGTTCAACATATGATTTGAGTTCCTTCAGTACAATATCACGACAATTATGTTTCATTCATGCACCCTAAGTGCCCAATTTTCCTGCATTGCCACATGATTTGATAATTTTTTTATTGTCGCCATCTAATATGAGAATCAAAAACGATTTGTGACAAGGAGACACTTGATGTATAAAGGGCGCAGGACCAAGGACAGCGGAAATGTTGAATGGTATATTGCGGGTGTTCTTATCCCAAAATTCAATACATTTCCAAATTCTTAATATTGAAATCTACTCTTCCTTTTGATATCAATATTAAGAATTTGGAAATGTATTGAATTTTGAGATAAGAACACCCGCATCCGATTTTTTAATGTCATTCGACCATTTTGGATCATTTACAGTCGCCTCCCATGTAACAGTGAGCAGGCTCTAAGCATCACTGCAGAGTCCTAGAAGGACGAAACAACTGTGTGATGCAGTTTGATAAATTATCAAGGCCTACTGTGTATCTATTCTTAGTTTTCGTGGTCAGCTGTGTTGTTATACTACCTCTTAACATACAACGGGAAAGTTGAATACAACAAAATACAGTTTACAGTTTCGGTTACCTTCAATCCGGGTTTAAATGCATTATCAATTTCAAGGTACACTATCTAACCATGCATTGTTTTTGTTAAGACAATACGGTAAATTTGCTTCCTATTGGTATGTTAATAATATGATGAAAGTACAAAAGATACGAACGTGAATAGCACCATTTAATACAAATTTAGATACAATTGAGTCAACGAATGATATAAACTGCATTATACAGTTGTTTCGTCCTTCCAGGACTCGTCAGTAATTCTATGGGTCTAAACTGAAGAGACATTGAATGCAACAGAGGACAATCTATATTGGTCGAAGTAAACGTCAGATACCAGAAAAGCAAATACAAATTTGGAGTTAGATAGTTTAACTAGAAAATCAATTATAACTGAATTGTTGAAACTTAGGATACGAGTGAGGTGAAAACCAACTATTGGGTATAGTATGCTAGAATTCTACCGGGTCTCAGTGTGAATTTTACCATTAAATCAGGAGAAGGGCTGTGTGATAAACGATATGTTATGCTGGCTAATATATGGCATTATTTCAACCAATCTGCATAAACAATTTAAGTATTTTATTAATTCCTTATTTGGCTGTACTGTATCTAATTTTAAATTTGTATAACAATGTGCTATTCTTTTGTGTCTATTGTATTGTATTGCAGGTCACTATTTCCAAAACCGTAAAAACAAAGTGCAAAGAAAAGAACATTCTTCACTTTGAATTATCTTTCAACAATTTCAATTTGAAACAACGTTTCCACTGTTAGCTGTGAACCGTTAACAGGCAATGTTTACTGGAGTAAACATAAAAAATGTAATATAGTACATGATGATAAAAGGGAGCTAACTTTTTAAAACAAATTGACTTCTAAGTAGCTAATGTCACGAAGAAGGGACTTAACTCGTACAAGACAACTATTGATAATACACTACCAGTCAACGTTAATGTTAATCAATTGGTGACACGTCACAGAATACACAAAGTACTTCACTTTCTTCTCAAATTATCAGATATATGAAAATAACAAAATCTATTGAATTACAAGGCTATATTAAACCATTGACAAGTGGTACACACTAAAACAATGAAACACCGGCAAGGAGTACACACTTAAATCATGATCCACTGAAAAAAGGGTACACACTTAAACTATGAGCCAATGATATTTAACACTCATAACCAGTAAATCATCAGCTGGCAGGGGGCACAAACTAGATGCATAAACCATTGCATAGGGCACGCGCTAGATAATGTGAAATGAAAGGGACACACATTGAAAAGTTAACCGTTGGAAAAAGACACACTCGAACCTTTAAAATGGAACATAAATTAAAACCATGACCCAATGGCAATAGATACAATATAAAATCGTGAGCTGATGACCAGGGAGACACACTAAATCATGAGCTGATGACCAGGGAGACACACTAAATCATGAACTGTGACCAGGGAGACACACTAAATCATGAACTGTGACCAGGGAGACACACTAAACCATGAACTGATGACCAGGGAGACACACTAAACCATGAACTGTGACCAGGGAGACACACTAAATCATGAACTGATGACCAGGGAGACACACTAAAATCATGAACTGTGACCAGGGAGACACACTAGATCATGAACTGATGACCAGGGAGACACACTAAATCATGAACTGATGACCAGGGAGACACACTAAATCAGGAACTGTGACCAGGGAGACACACTAAATCATGAACTGATGACCAGGGAGACACACTAAATCATGAACTGATGACCAGGGAGACACACTAAATCATGAACTGATGACAAGGGAGACACACTAAATCATGAGCTGATGACCAGGGAGACACACTAAATCATGAACTGATGACCAGGGAGACACATTAAATCATGAACTGATGACAAGGCAGACACACTAAAATCAGGAACTGTGACCAGGGAGACACACTAAAATCAGGAACTGATGACCAGGGAGACACACTAAATCATGAACTGATGACCAGGGAGACACACTAAATCAGGAACTGTGACCAGGGAGACACATTAAATCATGAACTGATGACCAGGGAGACACATTAAATCATGAACTGATGACAAGACAGACACACTAAAATCAGGAACTGTGACCAGGGAGACACATTAAAATCATGAACTGATGACAAGGCAGACACACTAAAATCAGGAACTGTGACCAGGGAGACACACTAAAATAATGAACTGATGACCAGGGAGACACACTAAAATCAGGAACTGTGACCAGGGAGACACATTAAATCATGAACTGATGACAAGGCAGACACACTAAAATCAGGAACTGTGACCAGGGAGACACACTAAAATCATGAACTGATGACCAGGGAGACACACTAAAATCAGGAACTGTGACCAGGGAGACACACTAAACCATGAACTGATGACCAGGGAGACACATTAAATCATGAACTGATGACCAGGGAGACACACTAAAATCAGGAACTGTGACCAGGGAGACATACTAAAATCATGAACTGTGACCAGGGAGACACACTAAATCATGAACTGATGACCAGGGAGACACACTAAATCATGAACTGATGACCAGGGAGACACACTAAATCATGAACTGATGACCAGGGAGACACACTAAAATCAGGAACTGTGACCAGGGAGACATACTAAAGTCATGAACTGATGACCAGGGAGACACACTTAACCATGAACGGATGACCAGGGAGACACACTAAATCATGAACTGATGACCAGGGAGACACACTAAACCATGAGCTGATGACAAGGGAGACTAAATTGCAGTATATTTATCTTTCAATCAAAAGAATTGTGTAGAATATTAAGTTTTGATTTCGACATGTATATACAACAATTAGACAATAAGTCATATTACCTGTTGAAAGATCTAAAAGAATGCACTTTCATAGCCATGATATGTCAGTCGATATTTCATTCAAATCAGCAATAGAAATATACCTGTCAAAATCAAGCAGTATATCTTTCCTGTTAATCAATATGACAATATACGTGTAAAGAAAACTTGACGACAAAATCGATCGTGTTCTCACTTTATAAATCCATACCCTTTCATAGACGTGGGCGACGTTATGCAGTAAAGAAAACTGCTGTTAGAAGCAAATTCAGACCTATAATCCTGCCTGTCATTTTCCACCTTGATATTATATCACATCCCGTGTGTAGTGTCTGAAATCGTAGCTATCTATCAAGGATTGTCCATGTTCGATTTCCTACCACGTGGTCGAGAAGTATTTACAATAACTACTTGGTAGGGATCTGTAACACTTATGTCCACATGTAGAAGACAATATGTAGCGTGCCAGGTAAAC